GAGACAAAAAAAGATCAGATCTACCCTTTAGTGTACTTGCTTCTGACACTAGCACTAATCCTACCTATTGTGACCATAAGTGTAGAGCGAGTATTTTCTGCTATGAATATTGTGAAGAATCGGTTACGCAATCGAATGGGGGATTTGTGGATGAATGATTGCTTGGTTGCATATATTGAGAAGACATTTTTAATAGTATAGATGACGAGGTTGTTATGCAACAATTTCAAAATAAGAAAACTCATCGAGGACAATTATGATTGTAATGAATAGACAATATAGACAATATGATTTTTGATGTTTTGATGTCTCGTGAGTTTGAAGTTTTTATTATTTATATTTTGTGAGAGGCCCCCGACACATAAAGTCCTGGCTTCGCCACTACCCTCATCACCACCCTTCTCAACACTTGACACGTGTCCATTGACATAACCATGGTTCCATAAATACAAACCAAAGAATTAATTATGGTTATGTCAATGGATGCGTGTCAAGTGTTGAGAAGGGTGGTGATGGTACACCTTAGGTTAAAGTGAAGAGCAAAAATATTTCCAAAATAATCTAGCCCAACTCTAATTACAACAACTGAGTCATTCTATAGTGAGGACCTTATCTAAAGCATTGATCCAACAGTTAAGATATAGGTTTGATCTTGGTTATGCCCTTGTTAATGTCACAAAGTATCCTGTTGTGACTGAGTAATAAAAGTCACAAAATTAGAGTGGATATTATTTTTCTTTGCTGAACTTTATGTCTTGTGTCCATGTATTATTAACATGTAATAAAAAGGCAAAACATATATTAATATTTTTCTTACGTGAGTTTTTTTCAATCTATATTGCTACCTTGTCTATGGGATTGGCGATTGGTAAGTTGCTGGTGATATTCTTACAAGCTGAAGTTCATAATCAGTCCTCACCAGCAGCGGCAGAAAACCCATCGTTGTCTCGAGTGTGCTACTGGAGACTCTGGGGAAGTCGGAATAGTCACCCATTGGGTCTCTTGTTTTTTCATGTCGTTCATGTCAAGCTTTTCTCTCAACAACCCAACACTGTGAGCTAATAGAGAAGATAATTTTTTGGCTGATACTTTGGCAGGATCCAGGGAATTTTTATTTTGATATAGGCCTCCTTGTTGTTATAAAATGCTCAGAGTTATGGATGGAGTTCTCCTACAAATTGTTATAAAATTAATTTTGATGGCACAGTTCTTACTAATGGCAATGCTACTACATGTTTTGTTATCTGAAATTCTTATGGTATTGCTATATATTTTCCATGATACCTTTCTGTAGGATTGTAGGGGGTGTGATGTGTGTTGCTCTGATACCATTTTTGGATTGTAGGGGAAACAAAGTGATTTTATTAGATTTGGAGGAGAATAGTACATAGCTTGATGTAGGCTAATTGGCATTCTTCGTAGCTTATTTTGGCTTATTGGCCATCACACTTGATTTAGAATAGTTTGGGCTATTGGGCCCTTCACTTAGATTGGTGAGCTTATTGGCTCCCTTATAGTTTGGGAGTTCTTTTCATTGGACTCCAATTTGCTTTATTGCTTTGCATGCCTATTTATAGGCATTCTTTGCCTACATCACACCACATACTAGAAATTTCTATATTTTACAATATTTTTGTGGCTATTGTTTAGCCATCATGTAACATGAGTGTTCTTGTTCTAGAAAGTTCTTCCAACTTCAACTCTCAACATAGTATGTTCTCCACAACTCTAGAATCATCCTTGTATTCATGATTCTTCTAGAACTGTGTAGAACCCAAATCGACATTATTTTTCAACACTTTCCTATTGGTATAACATTTGTTTTGCACAATGCTCTAGCTACAACAAGATATTCAATGGGCTATAAGACTTCAATTTTTTTTAATCTGGAGATTGCAGGAGATTCTAAACTACTTATCCAAATGATAAGAGGAAATGTAGTATACATTGGAAGAAGATATCCATTAGAGGAGATATTTCACAATTGCTTTCTCAACTATCAAGTCACACCCTACATCATATCTATCGAGATAAACAAATCTGGTAACTAATAATTATTTAGGACATAATTATGATCACGTATTTGGTTTTGTAATTTTTCTTCTTGGGTTCTTATTTTAGACTAAAATTTGACATGTTTGGAAATAGGATCTCCACAGGTAACATGTTTATGTATATTGTTTCTGCATTTGTATAAAAAATAGCAAGTTAATGAATCATTTTTTATCTCATTATGAGACAACTAAAACCTCTTCTGCTTTGTCAGATTCAGTTCTAATACTTGCTAATTCTGTACTATGCAATTTTAAAAATGAAATCTATTTGTCGCTGTTGCTTAGCGAGACAAAAAATTTCGTCGCGCAAAAATAGAATAAATTATTTAAAATTTATTTTTACGCTTTTGTATTTTGTAAAAAGGAAATTTGCGCGACGAAAAGATATCGTCGCACAAAAATAAATATATTATAATTAAATTAAATTTTAATTAAATTTTTGTGGTAACAAAAATAAATTTGGTTTTTTTTTAAATAATAAAATGAAATTGCAATAAAAAAATGTAATGAAGAGAAATATTTTTGTTATAACATAATATATTTAGTACAATAGAAATATTTAAAATGTAATTAATAAAGTTAAAATCTAATCAAACAACCCTCCAAGATCTACATTGTCGTCTGGCAAATGCGGCTTGGAGGTCTGGACATTGTCAACAGGGGGAGAGGTGTGGTGGCCATGCTCGGGTTGGCGGGGCTCGGAGGTCGACGGGGGAGGAAAAGGCGGGATTGAAATGCCGGAGTGAGCGTGGGACTGTAGAAGATGTGACAAATGACCCTTGAGCTCGGCCACCTCTGTCTTCAAAGCAATCACCTCACTATTTGACTCCGATGATTCACGGGGTCTAGGTGACCGATGCCTGTGTCTTTTGGGGTCTCTCTAAGAATCAATTCTTCTCTTTATTTGGATTTCTTTTCCTCAATTTCAATTTCAACTTTCACTTTTGGTCCATGTAGTTCTAGTTCTACTCGTGGGTTCGCGTTGTAAGTTGTAATCACAAGAAAGAAGTTGTAATTTTCTTTTCCTAGCTATCACAACAAAAAAGAACGTACGTGTGTTCTTGAAAACCAAAAAAGAAAGAACAGAAGAAGAAAAGATGGCGAAGAAGGTGACAGTGAGCAAGAGTCCACGATGGTGAAGCCAGCAGAGGAGTCGACGCCCCGAGGCTCGTTGTGGCTCTCCAACTTGGACCTAGAATATTCGCGCTATCACACATCAAATGTTTACTTTTACAGATCAAGTGGTGACGAGAACTTCTTCAACCTAGTAGTGCTCAAGCAAGCCCTTAGCAAGGCCCTTGTGCCCTTCTACCCCATGGCCGGTCGCTACAAGCTTAACGACCAGAATGGCCGTGTGGAGATTGATTGCAATGCGGAGGGAGTGCTCTTTCTTGTAGCGGAGAGCTTCTCTGCCGTTGATGATTTGGTGATTTTGTGCCCACCCCCGATTTTTGTGAGCTCATCCTCGGTGTTGATTACGCCGGTGGGATATCCTCATATCCCATTTTTGTGTTACAGGTATTTAATAATTATCATCCAAGGTCTCATTTTATATATTTTGTCACACAATAATGAAAAATTCCATGAGTGTTATAAAACTAGGGGGAATTGTAGATAACAATAAGAGGAAGAGAAATACAGAGAATTTGTTATATGAACTTGTATCAACTTATCTTATTCATCTTTGATAAGTGCCTATTTATAGGCTTACAATAGAGGTATTTAACCCACAATTTATAGCTACTAATTACAATAATAAGGGCATAGGTTACAAAGCAATAAGGGGTGGAGGTAATGGATCTTATGGTGGTCATCCACATTCCATAGATTTACAACACTCCCCCTTAGACGTCGCCTATGTTCACCTCCATCAGAATCAGAGGAGTAAGCTGGACCCTTATGCTCTCCTCTGTGTCTTTTTGGGTTTTTCTCCTCATCAGAAAGGCTACCGATGCTATCATCCTTCAACCCGACGTCTATATGTCTCTATGAATGTTACCTTTATTGAGGATGAAATGCTTTTCTTTGATACACCCGAGCATGTCCTTCAGGGGAGGACTAGTAGTGAAGGACATAACTGGCTAGATTTACAAGGGGGAGTAGTATTGGATAGTTTGATACAAAGGGAATAACCGATCGAACCTGTTGAACCGGCTGAACCTGCTACACTAGCTGAACCTGCTACACCAGCTGAACCTACTATTTTAACTGATGCCCCCCATGAAGCTTCTCTAATAGTACCTGATCAAGCTCCTCTGGATATTCCTGAGGTAAGTGCTTCTATTCATACTGCTGATAATTCTTATGTTTTACCGCCGAGAAGGAACCGTGGGGTTCCACCTGATCGTTACTCACTAGAAGGCAAAGCAAGATATGCTATTGCCCATTATGTGTCTGATCACAGGTTATCTCCTGAGTGCAAAGCTTTTGTGACCAGAATGGATAGTATTAAGATTCCAACCCGTGTTGAGGAGGCATTTAATGATCCAAAGTGGGCTGAAGCCATGAATATTGAAATGAAGGTGCTGTAGAAAAATAATACATGGGACATTGTTGATCTACCAAAGGGAATGAAGCCTGTAGGATGCAGATGGGTGTTTACAATTAAATATAATGCAGATGGTACTGTGGAGACGTACAAGGCAATATTAGTAGCTAAAGGGTTCACTCAGACATATGGAGTTGATTATCATGATACTTTTGCCTGTGGCTAAGATGAATACTATCAGAGTTTTGTTGTCCTTAGCAGTAAACTTGGATTGGACCCTGAGGCAATTTGATGTAAAAAAATGCATTCTTACATGGTGAACTAGAAGAAGAAGTGTACATGAGTCTTCCACTAGAGTATAACGTTACTGGTGGCACGGGGAACGTGTGCAAATTAAAAAGGCGTTGTACGGGTTAAAGCAGCATCCTCGGGCATGGTTTGGCAGATTTACTACAGCTATGAAGAAGTTTGGTTACCAACAGGCCAATACTGATCATACTCTATTCATTAAACATAGGGTTGGTAAGGTGACTTTGATGATTATTTATGTTGATGATATGATTGTGACTGGTGATGATACTATAGAAATTGAGAAACTGCAGAAGCGTTTAGCATCTGAATTTGAGATGAAAGATTTGGGCAGTTTGAAATATTTTCTAGGAGTGGAAGTCACTCGATCTAAACATGGCTTATTTCTTTCACAAAGGAAGTATGTCATGGACCTGCTAGCAGATACTAGAATGCTTGATTGTAAACCAGCTGACACACCTATTGTTGAGAATCATAAACTTGGTGTTTATGTGGATCAAGTTCCAACTAACAAAGAAAGATACCAAAGGTTAGTTGGAAGATTGATTTATTTGTCATTGACACGCTCTGATATTGCCTATGCGGTAAGCGTTGCTAGCCAATTTATGCATTCACCTAGTGAGGACCATATGGCTGCTGTGATGTGTATTCTGAGTTACTTAAAGTCTGCTCCTGGGAGAGGTTCAGTATTTAAGAAAAATGGCCACTTGGATCTAGAATGTTACACTGACGCAGATTATGCAGGGAATATTACAGATATACATTCTACATCAGGTTACTTCACCTTTGTTGGTGGTAACCTAGTTATGTAGCGTAGCAAGAAGCAAAACGTTGTGTCTCGGTCCTCTGCAGAGTCTGAGTACAGAGGGATTGCCCAAGGGGTTTGTGAAATATTGTGGTTGAGGTGGTTACTTGTTGAAATTGGGTTTAGATTGGATGTTGCTACAAAGCCCTACTGTGATAATCAGTCTGCATTTGAAATTGCTAACAATCCGATGCAACATGATTGAACTAAGCATGTAGAAGTTGATCGGCATTTCATTAAGGAGAAGCTGGGGCATAAGTTAATTTCTATACCTTTTGTGCCTTCTTCAGAGCAGCTTGCAAATATGTTGACCCATGCCATGTCAAAGCGCCGATTTGAAGACTCACTTGACAAGTTGGGCATTACCGATATCTATGCACTAAGTTGAGGGGGAGTGTTGGGGTAAGTCAACGTTCCTATTAGGAATAGAATTTATATTTTATTGTAATTATCTAAGTTGAGTAGAATTAGGAGATTTTGTACATATTTCCTATTTGTACCCACTCTGTATGTAGTATATATATTCCTCCTTGAGAGAAGAATAAACATATCAGTTTAAACCCTAATTATTTTGAGTCAAATTGTTATAAAATTAATTTTGATGGCACAGTTCTTACTAATGGCAATGCTACTACATGTTTTGTTATCTGAAATTCTTATGGTATTGCTATATATTTTCCCTGATACCTTTCCTATTGGTATAACATCAGTTTTGCACAATGCTCTAGCTACAACAAGATATTCAATGGGCTATTCGACTTCAATTTTTTTTAAATCTGGAGATCGAAGGAGATTCTAAGCTACTTATCCAAATGATAAGAGGAAATGTAGTATACATTGGAAGAAGATATCTATCAGAGGAGATATTTCGCAGTTGCTTTCTCAACTATCAAATTACACTCTACATTATATCTATCGAGATAAACAAATCTGGTAACTAATATAAATGAAATTGTTTCTGCATTTGTATAAAAAATAGCAAGTTAATGAATCGTGTTTTATCTCATTATGAGACAACTAAACCTCTTCTGCTTTGTCAGATTCAGTACTAAATTCTAATACTTGCTAATTCTGTACTGTGCAATTTAAAAAATGAAATCACTTGTAACGTTGGACAACCGTCAACCACGATGCCCTTTTGCGGTTGGGAAAGTTGCCAAGTCACAGTGTTCACCCTTTGTACCCCACCGGGCCACGCTTTTATTTTCCATGCCTACTGAAAGGTACAATAAACCTGCCATGAAAGCCACCCCAGCATCCAATTGCCACTGAGCAAGAGATAATGAAAAAACAAGAGAGAATGAATTCTTTCTGCATTAATGAGATTTTATTTGTGTGTGGGGTTAGTCTTTATTTTTTATTTTATTGGTCAGATATGTGAGGTAGGTTTGTTATAATGAGATTTTATTGGCTGGGACGAGGATGGTTACGTGCGCTGTGGTTAGTCTGGATGTAGTTCTAAGACCTTGATTTCATACTCTCCCCTCCTCAGTTTCGACGTTCACTTTTGCTCCATGTAGTTCTAGTTGTACTCGTGGGTTTGCATTGTAAGTTGTAATCACAAGAAAGAAGTTGTAACTTTCTTTTCTTATTACAACAAAAAAAAAAAAAAAATTACGTGTGTTCTTCTTGAAAACCAAAAAAGAAAGAAACAGAAGAAGAAGAAAAGATGACGGAGAAGGTGACAATGAGCATAATGCCAAAGATAGTGTAATTGATGAAGTAGGGAATGTGAAATAAGATAAGTTTTGCAGAGAATGCAAATCTGATTTTTCTCATTGCACATATTGAATATATATCTACAAGTATAGGCATAGCTAGATAGCCATCCGTTGGTTACAACCCCAATTCACAATTTACAATAAATTACAATCTCCAAAGCATGAATTATGTCTCCATGTTTCCAGCTTGTTGTGTTCCCCTTGTGTTCCCCTAAAACATGGAAATGAATTTCTAGGTGGTAAACAAGCTTTTCCATGTTTCCAGCTTTGTCTCAAGTCATTGTCAACACTCTCCCTCAAGTTGGTGCAAAGATATCACGCATGCCCAACTATTATTCTACTCAAGTATCAATAGAGATCAACTTCTACATCCCAAAAGATAAGTATTTTGCTGTAATTTCATTGATTTTATTTAATCGACTAGATCAATATAAATTACAATTTTCTAATATATATTTTCTATGATGTTTTGCAGTAAAAGTAGCATACATAAACCAAATTTTCCAACAAAAGGTACAAATAAAGCTGCCATGAAAGCCACCCCAGCATCCAGTGCCACTGAGCAAGAGAGAATGAAAAGACAAGAGATGCTTTCTGCAAATTGTTGGACAGCCACAGCTTTTTGCAAGTTGTTGTTTGGTGGGTTTGAAATATCTCAACTATTTTCCCTGATACCTTTCCTATTGGTATAACATCTTTTTTGCACGCCGACACATTTGCTCTAGCTACAAACAAGCTATTCAATGGGCTATTCGACTTCAACTTTTTTATCTGGAGATTGAAGGAGATTTTAAGCTACTTATCTAAATGATAAGAGGAAATGTAGTATACATTGGAAGATGATATCTATCAGAGGAGATATATTTCGCAGTTACTTTCTCAACTATCCAGTTACACTATATATATCAACATCATATCTATCGAGATAAACAAATCTGGTACTAGTAATTTAGCACATTTAGGACATAATTATGATCACATATTTAGTTTTGTAATTTCCTTCTTTGGTTCTTATTTTAGAATAAAATTTGACATGTTTGGAAATAGGATCCGTAGAGGAACCTCCTTTCAGTTGTACAAATTTGTTATTAGAAAAAAGAAACCCAAAAAAATTGCCCAGCCAAAGTTTTTTTGCAAGTTGTTGTTTGCTGGGTTTGAATTATATTTTTTTTGGACAAAGGTTTGAAATATCTCATCACCCGCTGCTTGAGAAATTAAATGCTATACTTACGTGTTAGTTAGAAATTAAATTCCTCTGGAACATGTGAAATAATGTCTTGTTGGTAGCTGAAAAATTTATCATGTTCAATTTGTAATCATAGGAGGACTTGTCGGTGTTTTTTTAAACGTGTATATTAGTTCTCCTGGGAGGTGTTCAATTTGTAATAATAGGAGGACCTGTTAAGTGTTGAGAAAAGTGGTGAGTATACACCTTAGGTTAAAGTAGTGAGCAAAAATGCTTCTCCGAACACTGTAAGTCCCAATTACTACATAATACTCTGGTGGAGCCATCATCCACCTAATGCTCCACACACACCATAAATAATTGGTGGGTGGTCTCAAGTTTAGCTGTATCTTTTGGGTTCTCTCTAAGAATCAATTCTTCTCTTGATTTGGATTTCTTTTCCTCAATTTCGATTTCACTTTTGGTCCATGCAGTTCTAGTTCTACTTGTGGGTTTGCGTCGTAAGTTGTAATCACAAGAAGTTGTAATTTTCTTTTCTTATTACAACAAAAAAAGAACGTACTTGTGTTCTTGAAAACCCAAAAAGAAAGAACAGAAGAAGAAGAAAAGATGGCGGAGAAGGTGACAGTGAGCATAAAAGAGTCCACAATGGTGAAGCCAGCAGAGGAGTCGACGCCCCGAGGCTCGCTATGGCTCTCCAACTTGGACCTAGAATATTCGCGCTATCACACGTCAAATGTTTACTTTTACAGATCAAGCGGTGACGAGAACTTCTTTGACCTAGTAGTGCTCAAGCAAGCCCTCAGCAAGGCCCTTGTGCCCTTCTACCCCATGGCTGGTCGCTACAAGCTCAACGACCAGAATGGCCGTGTGGAGATTGATTGCAATGCGGAGGGAATGCTCTTTCTTGTAGCGGAGAGCATCTCTGCCGTTGATGATTTTGGTGATTTTGTGCCCACCCCCGATTTTCATGAGCTCATCCCCAGTGTTGATTACACCGGTGCGATATCCTCATATCCCATTTTTGCGTTACAGGTATTTAATAATTATCATCCAATGAATGGCAATAATGAAAAATTCCATGAGTATAATTATTTAATATTGAAGGCATGGCATTTATAACTGTTCAGAATGAATGGCAAGCTGTTTGTGGACGGTGCATATTGAGTTTGGAAACGATTTGTAAGATGATAACAATGTTTTAGAGAGTTAATTTCACCTTCAAACCTTATAAAACATTGAATATTCAACAGAAAGTTTGAATGGAAACTCAAAAATTTCGATTTCTTTTAGGACTTATATATTACTAATTATATTATTGTTCATCCCATCATAATTGAGGGCCGCCTTAAGTATACGATATTATAAAACTTGAAGGATAACATCTGCCCTTTACCTCAGATTTTGAGGTACGGTGTGCAACTTAGTATATATAGAACTCATATAAGGATATCAATTAATTTTTGTGGGACACTCTTGTGGATCTACTCCGTATTGTATTTCAGCAATCTAAACTGTCTATCCTTTATGTATTAATTCAAAGATCATCTATGCAAAAAATCACATAAACCATTTGACCACTAAATTAATGGTTGTCACTTTAGTGTTTTTTTGAAGTATTGTATTGGTCTATTAAATTGGTCATAACTAGATGTCTTAATGGTTTTCAGTTGTATATGAATGAAAACTTGATAAAATACACGGTTTGGATTGTTAAAATAAAATTAGTCGAAGACCCTACAAGTTGTCTACCAAATAAAATTATTTGAGGTATCCTGAATATACATATTATAATATATATGATTCTGGATTTTACTGTCTACATATATATATATATGCAGGTCACGTACTTCAAATGTGGTGGAGTGTCAATTGGTGTTTCCATGGACCACCGCGTAGCAGATGGATTTTCTGCTCTCCACTTCGTGAATACATGGTCTGCTATTGCTCGTGGTGATGTCACAAAGATTAATCCACCCTTCATGGACAGGACCATACTTCGTGCCCGAAACCCACCTCAGCCTGCATTCCACCACATCGAATACGAAACTTGTGCAGAAAAGGAATTAGTTTATGATCTGCAAAAAACTACGTACTAAT